CTTTCAAATGTTGAATATCCATCAACACCACAGCACGCGATTTGTACGGCTAAACATGTACTTTGTATGAATGCCTGTGTTTTCACCGCTCTCAGAGCGGCGCTCTGCATGCTTGGGGTGCGTATGTACAGTCATATATATACTCAGATGTGAACAGTCAAATACGCGCGTAATAAATTTTGTATGAAAATATTATTTTTAAATACGAACGTTTTTAAAAGATAATCAAATATAAAGTATTCATTTTTACTATGCATTATTTCCCTCAGTGTAACAGAAGTGCTTATCATAATTATACGACACTCACTTATTGATAAGTTTTGACCATTTTTTTTTAGTACTTATCTAATTTTTTCCATTTCATTTCATTCATTTATATTACCTTCTTATAAAAACACAGTTCATTCTTTAGCAAAAAACATGTAAATCCAAGTGGTCTTTATTTGACCAGAGCTGAATGGGCTATAAATCCACACAGCCAATTATTTTCTGAAAGCACTGAATTAAAAGTGTAAAATTTTGTTGAAACTTTTAGTTTTTTTTATTTTATTTTTTTTGTAGGAATTTTGAGACATGGTTTACTTATATGTATTTTTTTTTTCTTATAAAATGAAATCTATACATATAACCAAATTGTAACAGGCCGATGTCTGTACATTATTATTTATTATTTTTTATTATAGCAATAGAATCCAGATCAACGATTTTTAGAATTTTTTTCTTTCTATCTGTGTGTTTGTGCACGCATCACTCGAAACCGAATGCATGAAATTGAATACGGTTTTCACCGATGTTTTATTAGAGATCTCACTTGAAATATAGCAGGAAAGAATTAGAGAGTTGCTACCTCTTTGCAAATTGCAGTTTAAGTAAATTTTTAAGATAAAATAAATATTGCAGTATGGCTGTCAAAAGAAAGAGGTTTACTAGGGCTTATAGCCCTAATTTTGTTGCTAAGATAAATTGAATATTATTGCAATATAAGTATAAAACTGAAGAGGTATAGGAAAGTTTACTGCCGAAAATGTGTTTGAGGAAGGTTGCCAACTGTTTGAAAAATTTTTTTGAATTAAAGTGATTGAAATACAAGAAATATTATAATACGCGTATCAAACAACAAAAAAATGCGGTTTAAGGCGCAGTGAAGCACGCCGAGTATTTCCTAGTCAAATAATTAAAATCTATAGTTAAAATTTGTCAATATGTGAGTGTCAGATAGTTATGGTAAGCACTATATGCTCAAAATATTCGGCGTTATCGTGCCAATTTAAAACTGAAAGCAAATTTAAAAGATACTGTGGAAGTAAACATATTCTGGTATGACATTTATGAACCTCGTTTTGCTTGCTATAGCCAAAAACTGAAAATTTGGAAAAGTACTTGTGAAATAAATTACCCGTTTGTATTGAAATTAAATTTAAGCAAACATTTTCCTTTGGTGAATGTACTTTCTATTCTATTTGCTTGCTCTCTTGGTATCTTGAGGGACAAACCTAGAAATTTGACAAGGACGCGTAAGCTTCTCCTCGAAGGCCATTTTTCCTTCGAACCCGTCTCAGAGGAAGCGCACGATTTGAAGACCGGGGATTGTGGTAGCGCCTAGAGTAACCTGCTGGATAAGAATTGCCTCGATCTGCAACATATGTGCATACTTTTTCAAGCCTTTTAAGACAGAAGAATCCGACGGCAGCCATGTCGTATTGTTGGATAGGTAGTTGTGTTCGGGGAGGATATATCCCCAAGGCCTGGAAAGTGGGTAGGGTCAAGTTTAGGTAAGCTATATGGCCTCGCTGCTGAGATGATTTACTTGTTATAATAATCCAATAAAGGTTTCAGCAGTCCTTATATGATGGAAGGTACCAGAAAAAATTAACTGCACTAGTCGTAGTACGTAAGAATGCTGGCGAAAGGGTTGAAGTTAGACTTGAAGGAACTTGGTGCTTACCTAACTTAGGATTGGAATACTCTACTATTAATGAAGGCTTACACTTGTGATTGTGCGAATTGTCGCGTTGATTCTTTAAACCATTACAAAAAAAAAAAAAAAAAGATTGTATTTATATTTTTGGAGTAAATTTGACTTCTAAATGCTTAATTGCAGTTTCTAACCGAGGGACCTTAATTAGTATCTAAATTAAATTGTGACTGTGAAGCCTATAAGACATGAAGCTGTCCTTTAGAGAGAATCTCTTCTATATGGATAGGGACACAATTTCGATACGATACGATAACATATTGATACTTTTGCCATTCGATACCGATACTTTTTACTCGATAGTTTTAGTACGTTTCTCTTTACATAACGAATACACATAAATACTATATATTGCAAAAAGCAGCCAAATTGGCCCATAAATAAATTAGATGACTTTTTTTTGGCAGACCTTCACCTGGAAACGCCCATAGCAAAGCAATATGGATATTTTTTCGGCTTTAAAGAGCACATACATATGTTTACTACCTTCGGTTGGCATGCGGCGGTGATGTCAATTAACACACTAACCTCTACATAAGCAAACACTCTTATTTAGAACCGGTTTCGAATCGTTTTTTGTTTCGTCTAATTATTTTCACAATAGAAAGCGAAGACGTACTAATAATAGTGACTTGCAAAAATATGTATAAATACCTGGTATAATTTATTCTGATAGCTGATTCCTCTATTTTTAACAAGCTTTTGATTATTTTACATTTTACTGCATCGAAACGTTTTTGTTTTATGTACTCAACAACATTTAAAGCAAACAACATGACAAAGCGAAGATTATTAATACATTGTATGTACCTACATACATATCTAAGTATGTATGTTCCCTGCAGGAAAAAATTATCAATTGATAAATAGTAACCAACTTGTAGTTAGCTTTTTTTGTGGGCTTTCGATAAATAGCTCACTTTTAATTAGCTATGAGTAACTAACTTTAACTGAGTTGGAAAATCATGCAGGAGTCTTGCAAACGTAATCGGGGGTTCCTTTTTCTTTAAAACAGTCTCTATTTAAATATCCTCATACAAATTTTATTTTGAATACACTTTTTTTCTGAACTTCGCAAATACTTTTTCGAATTCAGGACAAACAAAATGAAGAACGAAATTTTATATTATCATTTTGAAGTTGTGTCCAATGGAATTCGAAGAAAGTAAACAAGGGGAAAAATTTTAAAACCATTTTTTTTCGTATTGATATTTTAAGTCTAAAAGTAAATAGTTACAAGTCAGTTGACAGTTGCACCCTGGACTTTNATACATATGTAAGTATGTATGTTCCCTGCAGGAAAAAATTATCAATTGATAAATAGTAACCAAATTGTAGTTAGCTTTTTTGCGGGCTTTCGATGAAAAGCTCAGCTATGACAAACTAACCTAAACTGAGTTATAAAATCATGCAGGAGTCTTGCGGGAGTTCGGCTTACTTTAAAAAAGTTTCTATTTAAATATCCTCATACAAATTTTATTTTGAATACACTTTTTTTCTGAACTTCGCAAATACTTTTTCGAATCAGGACAAACAAAATGAAGATCGAAATTTTATGTTATCATTTTGAAGTTATGTCCAATGGAACTTAAAGAAAATAAACAAGTGAAAAAATTTTAAAACCATTTTTTTTCGTATTGATATTTTATGTCTAAAAGTAAATAGTTACAAGTCAGTTGACAGTTGCACCCTGGACTTTTTCGCGGCCATCGCCGTACAAATATAATTAGTTTTCCTCAAAGCAAATATACAGGTAATAGTGACCTATAGTAACTTCCTAACCAACTTCAAGCTAACTTATATTTAGTTACATTTCCTGCAGGGTAAATTAAAATTGTTATACATATATACATGCATACATATGTATGCCATATAAACAAACTGTACTCACCCCTGAATCTNTTTCGCGGCCATCGCCGTACAAATATAATTAGTTTTCCTCAAAGCAAATATACAGATAATAGTGACCTATAGTAACTTCCTAACCAACTTCAAGCTAACTTATATTTAGTTACATTTCCTGCAGGGTAAATTAAAATTGTTATACATATATACATGCATTCATATGTATGCCATATAAACAAACTGTACTCACCCCTGAATCTGTGTCTCATAATGCGGGAACTGTTTGAGAAAAGTTTCGCGCTCACTCCACTTGGGCAAATAAGTGTCGCGCCAATATTGGACCACATTTTTCAGGTAGTTGGAATTAAAACCGTATTGAAATCCGATGCCTTCCAGGGGCTCATGCAGCGCGAGTGGACGTAACAATTGTGCCTTCAGATCTTCTATTACCTATGAATGCGCGGCAAAATAAAATGCATGCTTCATTAAATTATTTATTTTTATACATACATATATGTAAATTTATACCTATACATTAGGCTGGTCCCAAATACTTTTTTCCCAGCCACACCCCAGAAATGACAAATATCAAACATAAAAAGGCCCGTGTATTTTTTGTTTGTTTTTAAATCGGTTACCTAATATCACCGACACAAAAAAGTGGATCCGGGTTCGGCTCATACAACCTGAAAATTTCGACTAAATTGCGAAAAGATCGAAATTTAATCGAAATTCCAAAGCTCGGCGATTCAAACGGACCTTCGATTCGGATTCAGCGGATTGAAATACATGTCGGTAGTTGAGTCTGATTAAAAGTACACACTACCGCTTTTTTGTATGCCATGCCGGTGTATTTAACCATGACGCCAGGGCTTTGCAGTTTTCCCTATACATATGTATTTATGTATGTAAGTATTTCATATGAGTAGAATTCACTTTTTCGTAGAACTGCTATAAATCGTTAAACATAAATATTTTTTGTTTGCATAAAAATATTTGCCTTCGAATTCTTCAAACAATATAATTATGATGCATATTTAACTTTAAAAATTTTACTAGTTAACTAGTAAAATGTTTGAGTTAAATTTGCATCATAATACTGTTCTTGGACAATTTCTATCAAAAAATATATTTTTTTTGAAATTTTATATTTAGCAAATTTTACAAAATTTTTTTTATTAACCGATTTCAAAATAAAAACATGCGGCTCTCCTTATTTTTCATTTTCTATAAATCTAGGGGTGGTGGCATAAAGAAAATTCCAAAAAGTTTATTTATTTGTGTATTTTTGGACCACCTTAATGTGCATATGCACATAGAGAACATACAGTTGAGAAGCTAACCGACTTCTGTATGTGTGTAGGCTTATACTTATAGCTATTAATACCTTTGGTTCAACGCTTATATCGAATTCCTTAATAGCGGTATTCTCCTTATAATTAGCAGCACTGTCCGGTCCCCAATACTCGGTATCGCTTAAAAATGGTGGTGGCTTTGAACTTAGCAAAACGTGAAATCTATATGCAACAGCAGCTAGGAATACCACAAACAAGAACCGTTTCAAAAATCCCATTTCGAAAACTGCACTTCAGAATAGCACAAAAATAGCAAGATGGAGTAAAAACTTTCCACTTATTTATTTAAATATACAGTAAGAGCATTAAAAAATCCAGACAGTAGAACCAACCGTTCGCAACCGGCAAAGAAGAGCAACTAATCGGTGAGTGCAACAATTTCGATGTGAAACTTGGAAACATGATTGAGCGAATTCGGAAAGCTGTGCAAAAGTGGTGGTGGCATCGCTTATCACTTCTCAGTGAGTTTTAGTGAAACAGCTGTTGATCTACGACGCCTTCAGTGGGGACGGCATGCCAGAAGGCTGAAAGTGAAAAATAATATTTACATATGTATGTATGTATATATGTGCCTCTAATCGCTTTCCGTAAATCAGTAAAACATAACAAATTCCCTTTCATTAGCATTTTTATTTGACATACTCGTATTACATTTGCATTTAATTTATAGCGGTGTAAATATATGGTGCACATACATATGTACATTAGGATGGTCCAAAAACAAGTTAAGTCGGATTTTTAATGCTACCACCGTCTAGGATTTTTCTATACCGGAAAAAACATACCCCTATTTTTTATAACCGAGCACACTTGTGCACAAGGGTATTATGTACCCATAAAACTTGGTACGAGCATTGCTAGGAAGCCATTGCAAAATCATTTCGATTGATACCCATATTGTAATAATTCATTGAAATTATTGAACATTTTGAATTTTACTTTTTAAACCGTTAATTCCTATAATTCAAGTCGAATTTAAATTTTCATACATTTGACGTCCCTGCTATACATATGTTGCTTAGAAATAAAGCTTTTTAAATACTCCTCCGATTAAAACCTAGACTATAATAACTAATTAAACTTATAATATAATTGGATTTGAATTTAGATTTAAAACAGGTGGCAATCCTCATCAAAATCCTCAAAAAATTCTACGTGTTCAAGCTGAACATTTCTAATTTAAATTCGATTTTTAAAACAGGTGGCAACACTCTTCGAAATATTTCCTACTGAAAACCAATTAAATCTCTCTTGTCTGACGTCCATACTGTTATGCATATTCCAATTATCAAATTCCCTTAATTCAAGAGAATTTTGATTTGGCAACCCTTCTACATGTAGTTCAGAACTAAAACCCTTATCAAAAAACCTTTCGATTGAATCCCATATTGTAGTAATTCATTTAAGTTAAATGCATTTAATTTTTAAACGGGTGGCAACTCTTTTAAAGTGTTCTAAATCTTCAATCTGAAGGTTTCTTAGAAATATTTCATTTGACACCCCTATATTAATTTTTTGGATAGCTTGTGAATAATTAATTTAAATTTGGGTTTTTCGAACAGGTGGCACCCTTTCCAAAATACTTTCAAACTACAACTTTTTTACGCCTCTTGTCAACCAAACTGTAATAGAATTTTCAAATAAATAATTCCCTTATTTCAAGCCGAATTTGATGTTTTAAACAGGTAGCAGCCCTCCTCCCTGAGTATGGAATTTATTTCATGCACATATGTATATGTATCTACACCAAGTTCCTGTAATCTATCGAAAATATTTTCTGAGATATGATATGCGGTATGAAAATTCCGTTTGTGTGGGAGGTGCCACGCCCCTCGTATAATTGGAGAATAAATCTATCCTATATTTTAAGTTGGGCTAAATGGCACCAGTGTACAAAATTCAATGGTAATCGGTTGAGTAGTTAAAGCGTGAAAGCGTAACAAATAAACAAACTCACTTTCGGATTTGTAATATTAGTAAGGATTTTTGGAAAATGGGCACGACACCGCCCACTTTTGACTGCATAAGTCATTATTACTTTCTTTAATTTTCTTATACAATCGCACAGTGATATTTGGTCCCCATTTTTTTATTCTTTTGGGTTTGCTAATGTGATGCTTCGGCTATCGAAATATTCCCGACCATTTGCACCTGTTTGTATGATCCGTGTGAAAGTGTTAGTGGACGCAGCGCTCTGAAAAGTAAAAATGTTATGCTTAATTTAAAAAAAACGCCGAAAGCCATAGGCGCTATCGATTTAAATTTTGTAAAATGGGTTTTTCTTCTACAGGTGAGTTCTGTTTAAGTTTTAATTGAAACAATTTTTGGTATATTCAACTGGTTGATAGAAAACAGTTTAACGAAAAAGTAATAAGTCATTTTCTTTATGTTTCAACCACAAAAAATTATATTTATTTTCAGATAATTTTGAACTATGATACTAAATATTGAATCCGCCGTATCCGACATTTTGTTTAAGATGCGATTTTGTATCACGTAATATTGAAAGTTTTTCTAAATATTTTTTTTTTTTAATTATTTTTTTTCTTTTTATCAATTTCTTGTTAGATACACGTAAACATAATATCATCATAATTCAATAGCATTTTTATTTAAGAATTTTAATACAAACTTAAAAAACCTAAAATGAATCAATGTAACGTGAATTTAACAAATATTTTTCAAATTAAACACACATATTTTAACTTCAGGTGCCATATTGAATTGGCCATTTTGCCTTTTGTTTATTTTGATTTAAGATTCGAATTAAGCGACCCCAGAAACTATTATTATTGCTGTTATTATTTTTAACATCAATATTGGCCATATTGATTAGGCCATTTTTTTTTGTTCTTTTGATATCTGATTCAATTTCAGCGACCTCAAAACCCCCTTTAAACCTGAATTCTTATGAATATACTAATTTTTCAAACTGTGGGCACAAAATCGGTATCAAATATCTTTGTGCATTACCATTTTTTCCGAAATCGGAAATAAATTAATATTAACATATGAGGCCGTGAGCGCCAGAGTAGCCCTACTAACAGTTCAAAAAAAGCTGAGATGCACCTTCAAATGCATGCAATACCGCATTTATTTTTTATAGATCTTCTCATATTACTAAACACAATTTTTTTTTGTAGATAGGATCCTCTGGCCCTCATGGCCTCATATATTGTATAGTTTATAAAAATATAATTTTTATTTTATTTTCCCAACAAATTTCAAACAGAAAACTCCAAGTCTGTGCAGGAAAGAGAAAATCTACACACTAACAAGTGATTAGATTACAAAATTTGGCTATAACTTATTGGCGAAAGCTTTTTCGGCAAACTCTACAAAGTCTTGATAGAGTAACATCGGTACTTCCATGGCTGCAAAGTGGCCACCTTCTTTGTGGTATGTGCTATGTATAATATTCTTAAACTTAGCGCTAAGTTCCTGATCCGTTAAATGAGCTAAATCGTACACAAATCGAGCACAACCGGTGGGCGTACTAAGATGAACCGCATCCAGGTTCAAGCCCATTTGCGCCATATTGAATCCTTCCGAATACAAACGCTGCGATGTGGTTATCGAGTTTGTTATATAGTAGATCATAATGTTATCCAAAAGCTCATCCAGCGTGAAACGTTTAGTTAAACCACCATCTTCAAGTTTTCTGTTTTCAGGATTGGTCCAAGTAGAGAACTTCTCTAGAATGTATGCAGCCAAGCCCACGGGGTTCTGCGAGAGCGCGGCGCCAATAGTATCTGGTTTGGTTGCTTGAATATGTAGATAACCGGTCTCTTCCATGCTGAACGTAAACTCTTCGCCCAATGGTTTAAATAAAGCTCTGTATTCGTCTTTTATGAAGTATGACGGCAACAGGTAGCGTACAAATTTATATAACAACGTTAATTGGTGGTTACTAAAGCAAAAATTTGAATGATAACCAAGTACATTTTGAGGTCTCAGAGTGCCTATATGCGATCCGATTATGGAACCCCAATCGCCACCTTATATTAAAAATTTTTCATGTCACAAACGCAGCATCAAATTACGCAAAACCACAGCCATCTGAGCTGGACCGAAGTTAGTCTTTGAGACGCCCTGAATGTGGAGGAAAAAAATTAATTAGAATTTTAAATTACAGATGGTTTCCATGCCGGATATTATTACCTGAGACTAGGTAGGTAAACTAGGTGCTATCACTTCGAAAACGTAGGCGCTCTTGGGGTTCGGTTTCGTAAGCAGCGGAATAATTTTGTAAAATTCGCGTACCGATCCTGGCCAGCCATGGAGCAGCAGCAGAGGAATCACTTTCTTGCCTTCGGTGGATTTTGACTTCACATGAATGAAATGGATACGCAAACTGTAAAGAAAATGTGTGATTACTAAAAACGTTACAAATATGCCGATTGTGATATTTAAGTAGCGCCATACATATGTATATTTATGTATATGGGTCATTCCATACAAAATTTGCACCTAAACGTTTTTTTTTTTTTGGTCTGAAAATTTCTTTTATACAGAAATCAGTTAAGTAATGAAAATTTGCGTAATTAACTCGGCTTTCCAACAGAGTTTGAGATAGATTTAAAATAAATTATTTTTTGCATAAAAAAATTCAACAAAAGTTTTGCAAATTATTAGAACATTGAACGAGTGCTTAACCTATATACTGTTTAAATCTAGTAGACAAATTTCAAAAGGGGCATATGATATTTCAAAAAAAGTAATTTTGCTGCCTTTTCTCCCAGCAGGCGATTTCTTAGAGGATTGTGGATCGTGGAGCGCTCAAATATTTGCGGGCCAGATCTGTTAATTTGTCGTATTTTAGTTTAGTTTTCCACCAATCGAGAGGATTTTCACCGAGATGAGCTCGTTTTTCTTTAAGATAGGCCTTCAATTGATCATTAATTTCACATTTTTTAATGTTTCCAATGTCTAAAATTATTTCTAGGTTGCTTATAAGCAGGGAGCGGATTTTATGGAAATTGCCTTTTTTCTGCTAAATAGATAGAATATATTCGATTGAGAATGTCCACGATTTAGCTTTCCCTGATTCCATATATACTCACTTGATGTTGCCTTTTTTGGCTTTTATACCTTTCATTGTAAATGGCAAGGAAACAGCCCTTATTCCTCATTTCTAGTGCCTTTTCCTGCCTATTTAATTTTGCCTTTTCCAGCCTATTTCGTTATTTTATTTAGCGAATCATTCGCATAACGAATGCGAATATTCGCAACATTCCTGGTATATACATGCATGCATATTATATACAGGTATGTAAATACATGGAGGATGGTTCCGTGCGCAGAAGTGGAAAACTTCTGACTGCCATTCACCTGAAGTGGCCAGAAGCGATTCATGTGCGTACGGTTCAAATCGCAGCTCACAACGTCCGGATATTTATATCCACGTATCCTCTGGGGTGCAACCAAACACCCGTTTGGGAGCGAGCTAAAGTGAGAAGGCGTAAAATTTCGCGTGCGCTGGGCTTGGGTCCCGCCACGTTAAAACCCCGCCCAATGAAAAAATCTAAAAAGCCTCGGATGAGACCCCCTTTTTCTGATGACGACCACGGCAAACGTATAAAGGACTATGATTTAAGGGTATGCACNTGATGAACGGGGAAAGGAAAAATAAGCGTGAAGCTTTGCGACGTCTACTACAGTTGCCACGTAAAGGAGCG